AAGGTCTAGGACTTCCATAAAACACAGACAACTTGACAGTAAAGCAGGAGGAGAAAGAGAGTATAAGAATAGAGCTAAGAGCAGTTGAGTGCATTGTCATCTGCTTATCTACATACAGACATGTCTGAAGCTGTTGATTTGCTAAGAAGAGTGTCCTTTAATTACTACGATTAAGTTGTGATATCCTGGCACTTGTGTGTGTGTGTGTTTTAATGATCAGATGTGCTTGGCAAAAGCACAGAAAACAGGATCACAGGCAACAGTGAATAACAGCATTTTACACAATTTGGTAACCTTTAGAGGTGGACGTGCATTTCCGTAAAACTGTTTCATGAGAACAGAGAAAGGCTTCAGTAGCTCGTGGACAATATTAATCACCTGGCACAGCGGAGGAGAAGCTGTCTGAACTGAAAAAGGCGAAGGAAGGGATGAGAGCACAGTAGTTGGCAGGGAGAACAGCAGTGCCTCATCGTCATCATCATATTTCCCACACATCCTCCTCCTCCTCTTCATGACACAGGGAGCTCAGCAGATGGTAAGTGGGATTCAGACTTGCGCAGAATCACTGACATATCTAAGGTAATGGAATGACTGACCTTTGGGAGACATGAATATTGGGCTTTCCACCCTCAGTTGCATCTTTCCCATAGCCTGCCACTTATTTAGTGTTGAGTACATGCATTTACTTCATGCACATACCAAGTGTTGGACTACAACTCTGGAGACTAGGGTTTGATTCCCAGTTTGGCCATGAAAACCCACTGGATGACCTTGGGAAAGTCACGCTCTCTCAGTCCCAGAAAACCCTATAATACGAGGTCTGCCTTAAGATAGTCATATGTTGGAAATGGTTTGAAGGCGCATAGCATCAATATATACTGAACCACAATTCTGTCTCCCAGCCCAGTGGTACAATTACTATTATTATTAATAAGTGTACAGTCATCTGTCCACTTTTGCAGTGGTTAGGGGTGCAAAACACCTGCAAAAGTAGAAAAACTATGAATATCTCTAAGTCCCCCAAAACTTAATTCTTAATTCCATCGACCATATTTAACACACACAAAAAGTACAACACACATATGCTATGCATTTGTGACTTACTACATTTTGTTTAGGTTTTTTTTTTAGATTTTCTAGTCTACATATGCTGTCTGAGATTGTCCGTAAGAAGTTTCGAAATCCCACAAAAGTGTATTTTAATTATTAATTAAACTTGAATACACACATTTGTGAAAGTCAAATCAATGAAAGCTGAGGTTCAATTCTATTTCTTACTTAAGTGAAATCCATCCAGAAAGACGTTGGTCAAGTCACTATTCTCTCTTGTTTCTCTCCCTGGCCAAATTTCCAGTGAGCACTATTGTAAGTATTTCTCTCTCTTTTGCAGGATGCAAGAGAAAAGCAATTTATTGAGAGCATTCCATCATGTTCTTTCAAGTATGTTTAAAGATTTGTTCTGGGAATTACGATGTCCTAGAAAATGACCATCATGTAAGTTTCCTGCAACCTCCCACCCACTCCCTAACATGCTATTGACCAACTGCTAAAACTGTTTCTTAGTTTTCTGGAAAACTGCAATGGATTGGCAGCCAATGGCTCTTGGCCCATGACCAGTCCATGGACTGCTACTATGAGTATCACTATCCTAGGAGGAAAATTCTGAGAGAGCCTCTGACCGCAAAAAAATCCAACCAGTCAATACTCCAGGAAATAAAGCCCGACTGCTCACTGGAGGGAAGGATATTAGAGGCAAAGATGAAGTACTTTGGTCACATCATGAGAAGACAGGAAAGCTTGGAGAAGACAATGATGCTGGGGAAAATGGAAGGAAAAGGGAAGGTGGATGGATGTTGTCCTTGAAGTGACTGGCTTGACCTTGAAGGAGCTGGGGGTGGCAAAGGCCGACAGGGAGCTTTGGCGTAGGTTGGTCCATGAGGTCACAAAGAGTCGGAAGTGACTGAACAAACAAATAACAACAAAACCCTAGGAGGAATTATGGTATCCTTACATCTTTAGGTATGGAATAAATGACTTAAAACAGGTTGAAGAAGGCAGATGTTGAATTGTTTTTAATGCCCACTTTTCAATCCACTGGTTGACATCTAGGGTAGCACTATTCTTTGGGCAAGGGCCTCCTTGGTAGCCATTGCCATCTTAGGAGATTCCTAGGTGTACAAAATCACACCGTCACCCATTAAAATTGTCCAGCCTTGCTCTACATAGTCAATGTTGCTGAAGAAGGCACAAGAGAGATAGTTTATGCAACCAACTTGTCCTCTGTCATCAGGAGAGGGATTGGCCACCTCTGCTGTTATTATTTTGGGCCTTCATGTCATTTCCAACCTACGATGATCCTATCACAGGGTTTTCTTGGCAAACGTTGTTCAGAAGTGGTTTGCCAATGCTCTCCTCAGAGGCTGAGTGCAACTGGGTGTCAGACAACTAAATCTGAAGGGTGCCTTGGCACTGTTTTTTCTCCAATACCCTTTGCTATGAGGCTAAGCAGCAAATGAGGTTGCTCAATGTGCTTAAAGTCATGTTTTATATGTTTTAATTATTGTATAAGTTTAATGTTTAATTTGGTTGTATATTATTATCATTTATATTGTGTTCTTCTGTTGTAAGCTGCCCCAAATCATTTTGGGGAGAGGGGGTGGGATATAAATATATTATTATTATTATTATTATTATTATTATTACTACTACTATTATTTACACAACAAGATTAGTACACAGCAAACAAGATCACTATGCTGGCTTTTGTATTCAATCAAAACACTTCCCACGTGTCTAGGACTGTGTGGTGTATCAGCAAATAATGCATGCAGATCCAAATAGGGTGACCTTTTGCAGCTGACAGATGGTAATTTTGTCAGCGCCAATTGTTTTTAAGTGCAGGCCATGGTCTTTAGGTACTGCACCCAGTGTGCCGATCACCACTGGGACTACCTTTACTTGCTTGTGCAGTCTTTGCAGTTCTGTCTTTAAATCCTCATATGCTCCAAAACTCTGTCAGTCTGAATTCAGAAGCCCCAGAGTAGTCTGACATTTTCATTTTCTGTAACTTTTTCTGACTTGTGATCCCAACAGTTTGGGTTATCTCTCACTGAAGGAAAAAGTGATCCCTAATAACATAGAATCCTAAAGTTGGGAGAAACTCCAAGGCCCATCCAGTCCAAGCCCATTTTACCCTGCAGGAACACCCAATCTAAGCCCTCCTGAAAGATGACCATTCAGCCTCTGCTGAAAAACCTCCAAAGAAGGAGACTCCACCGGACTCCCAGGCAGCCTATTCCACTGCCAAACAGCTCTGGCCACCAGTATGTTCTTCCTCGTGTTTAGATTCAGTCTCTTTTCCTGCAGTGTAAGACACTGAGGGGACTTAAAAGTCTCATAACCCAGACAGTCTCATAACCCAGGGTGCCTATCAGCAGAGAAGATCAACAAGTTGGAAATCACAAACATTTATTTTAGCTAAGTGTTGGAATTCAGCCTGTGATTGTGTCTAATGATCAGGTTACTCTGGATGTTGGGAATGACAATGAGGTTCATGTACCTAATGATGTTTCTATTGATGAGGTTGCTATTGGTGCAGAGAATGACAATGGGATTCCTGTTCAAAGTGTCTTTTCTGAAGGGTTTGGGGATGATGGTATGGTCCCTGGAAGAGGGTCTGCTACCAGAGAATTCCCATGACCTTGAGCCTGGGAATAGTTCGGCACCTGGGCAGCTGCAGAAATTAATGAGCCAGTAGATAGAAGGCATGTTTTTAATCAGTACAGGCAAACAACCCAATCTCTCAGGTGTTCTGCCAGGCTGAGAGAAAGATTGATAACAGAGTCAAAGCTGAAACAAAATCCATTCCTGGCCACTTGGGACAATGAGCAGATTAGGGAATAAAAGTGCCAAGTACAGAATCTGTAGTTCAGATGAAGCATCGTTGGAAATTGAGTCAAGACAGCTTTCCTGGTCCTTGGAAGCTTTGCCTTGGATAGATTCGTGTATTAAGTGTTTTGTTTTTTAATTCATGAATCAAGTTTTGGAGTATTACCTTGGAAGTTTCTGTATTTGTTTTAAACTATCTTCAATAAACTGCTTGCATTTTTATTCAACTATGTGGTGTTTAAAGTCAGAGGGCCTTCCTGACCTGGAGTAGCAATACTAAGTCTGAAGGTCTGAAAACCACCAAGCAGGCACCCAGGGCAAGACAAAGCATTAACGAAGCTGAGCTCCCAATTTGAATAAATAGTTTTGGCCCAACTTACATGTCTGCACGCATCTCCCCTTATGAACCATTTAGGACCTTAAGATCATCTGGGGAGGCCCTGCTCTCCTTACTGCCTTTGTCACAAATACGTTTGGTGGAGACGAGAGACAGGGCTTTCTTCATGGTGGCCCCTCAGCTATGGAATGCCCTCCCTATGGATATTAGATTGGCCACCTCCCTTTTAACATTCGGGAGGGGGGGAGTCAAGATGTGGTTTTTTGAACAAGCGTTTCCAAATGTAGAGTAACTGACATAGGAAAATGGAATGACTAGACAATGAGACTGGACAACGTTTTTAACAAGAAGACACTATGATTATTGATTTGTTTAGTTTTTATAATATGTTATGTTTTTAATTGTATTTATGATATTGTAAGCATTGAATTTTACCCTGTTGAACGCCTTGCGTCACCTACGGGCTGAGAAAGACGGTATACAAATACAGTAAAGAGACAAATAATAATTAAATACTGCAGGGCTTCAATTGCATGCCATGGCAAGGCCCGGTCAGGGTGGGGGCGGGTTGGGGGGGGGGCGCGGGCTGGGCGGACGTGCTTTGCAGCGGGGCCGGTGTCCCCAGGGGGGCCGAGGGGGCGGGGGGAGGGGCGGGCAGGGCCTGACACGCGCGCCTTGCCTGGGCTCAGCGCCCCTCTTGTCCTCCCCCGCCAAGCCATACGCGGAGCCTGGAGAGGGGAGAGGAGAGGAGGGAGGGAGGGAGGGGAGTCGGGGGCGGCCTGCCACATCAGGAAGAGGGAGGAGCGGGACGAGAAGGGAAAGGAAGGCAGCGAAGGAAGACAGCGGCCTGTGTGCGGCCCGGGGCGCGCGCCCGACTTCCTCCGCTTTTGGGGCGCGCGGCGGAGAGGAAGAAAGAGAGAGAGAGAGAGAGAGAAGACCTGCGCGGTGACGTCACGCGGAGCTGTCCCTCAGCACCGGGCCGGCTCTGGCGCTGCAGGTTCGAGACCCGGTCGAGCAGGTAGGAAAAGCGGGGAAGCAAGGAAGGAAAGGGACGCTCTCGCCGGAGGAGTGCGGGGCAAGGAGGGGGCTCCTTTGGGCCCGGAGGAGGAGTGCATGGCGGGAGGGGGGGGGAGGCAGAGCTGGTGGTGGAGCACAAAGAGAGACCCGAGCAAAGCTTTACGAGGAAGGGGAGCCGGGGGGGGGGGGGGGCAGAGAAAGGGAAGCCAGCGATGGCCGCGCCGTGCCTTCTTGCCTTGGAAGAGAGGAGCGAGGGGTTGGCTTCCCTTTGGGGCGCCTTTGCCCCCGAGATCGGAGGGCTTTTGTGTCCAACGAAGCTGCCCCCCCCTCTCTTCCCAGCACAAAGGGCTCTCCTGCTGGCAGGGATCCACTTCGCTGCCCTTTCCTATCCCCGACTCCCTTCCTTGGGGGCTCACTCGGCCGGGAACAAAAGAAATGCCCCCGACCGCTTTGGAATACAAACAACAACCCCATTTCTTTCTCAGTGATGGCATTCCATAAGGATGTGCAGCAGGGAACAATTTTTAAGATGCCTTAGGAATGTCGTGCCCCCCCCCCCCCGGAAGACAAACCCTATGCATGTCTTAAACACGTGTAAACAAAGGGTGCGCTTTCAAAGCCCCAGAACCAAGGTGCAAATCCAGAAACCGTGCCTGCTGTAGCCTCCTCAGCAAAGCCTGGCATCGTGCGCTTTCTGGGGCCTTTCTAGGCTCCCCTGGCCCCAAACAAAGGGAGCCTGGCAACGTCCCCAGAAACCCTTTGCAGCCCTGTTCCCTAGCAACCCTGCGGCTTCCCTGGGAGGATCCGGAGGTCCCAAACAAAGATGACACCTGAGTTGGGGTCCACCATGACAGGGACAGGGAGAGGCAAGGAAGTGGAAGGAAGGGACGGCGCAGGGCTGGACAAAGGCAGTTCTGTGCCAGGCAGCCAGGAGGAGGGGGAGGGGGAGGAGGAAATGGGTCCGGGTGTAGAAGTGGGGGGCATGGTTGGACCAGTTCAGGACACCATGGTGGAAGGACAACAAAAGGCAGGTTGCAAATAAAAAGGAGAGGCTGCAAATGTATTCAACGAGGCTTCTTAAACTGGGGGTTCCCTCAGCTCAATGTTGGGCCATGATAATTTTTGGCAACAGGAAAAGGTTTAGGAACACCACTCATTTACACAAATCTATTCACAAGGCGTAATGTTTACAGTGGATTCTGCTGAAAATGCTTCAGCTGTACTCCACAAAAAAGGAAGATCAGCCTGTTTAGCAAGCCTTGCAAATGGTGATTTGTTATCAGGAAATGTTAGGTTTCTATGTGTTGTTGAAGGTTTTCATGGCCAGAATCACTGGGTTGGTGTGAGTTTGAGAGGTCTGCTGGAAACTAGGCAAGGGAATTTTATACATCTGTGGAATGTCCAGAGTGAGAGAAAGAACTCTTGTCTCCTGGAAGCAAGTATGAATGTTACAACTGGCCACTTTGATTAGCATTGAATAGCCTTGCAGCCTCAAAGCCAGGCTGCTTCCTGCCTGGGGGAATCTTTTGGTGGGAAGTATTAGCTCACCCTGATTGATTCCTGTCTGAAATTCCTCTATTTTGTCAGTCTTGCTCTTTATTTACTGTTTATTTTAGAGGGTATTTTAAAATACTGGTACATATGTAATATAATACATATTTTGTTCATTTTCATGGTTTCCTCCTTTCTGTCGAAATTGCTCGCATGTTTGTGGATTTCAGTGGCTTCTCTGTGCAAGCTGACATGGTAGTTGTTAGACATGGTAGTTAGATTTTTATACTTATTTTATATACCTTGATACCTGGGGTCACTTAAAAATGTCTTAGGTGGAAAGAGCTCGTGAGTGGAAAAAGTTTAAGAGGCCCTGACATAGGCTAGTGATTCCCAAACTCTGGTCCTATTTTGGATTTCATTCCGCAGGAGCTCAGCCACTTTGGCAAAAGTTCTGGGAGCTGAATGAGTCGCCTCTGGCTGAGAAAGGCGGTATACAAATGCGGCAAATAAATAAATAAATAAATAAATGCAGGACACCTGGAACACCAGAGTGTAGTCATCACTCATCTAAACTCCTCCAGATTTTAGAGGTTCATCAAAATTTCAGTATCTCCTTCTCTGGTGAAAGGAGAAATTGGTAGAACTATATTGTATTCTATCAAGACATTGTAATTTCCATCTAATATTTATAACCCATCCAGCCATGTGCATATTTACCTCCTGTAACTTACATAATGCTGGATTCTTGTGACAAAGTGCACAGGAAAGAATTATGAATGAATTATCTAATATGGAAACAAATGCCGCTTGCTCATTGTTATTTTTAAAGAAGTGCTGTTTTCCAGACAAAGAGAGAGAGAGAGAGAGAGAGAGAGAGAGAGAGAGAGAAGGGTTTGCACTTTTTTAAAAATTCTGTCATCCTGTGTTTTAACCTTACTAGTACTTTGGGGCTAATAACTGTCTTCAATAAGGTTTGAGCCCCCTGTGTAGCTGATGAGAGTTGAAACAGACTAATTCAACAAATGCGCTGCAAAACCTTGTTGTGGAAGTGACTGCAAACCTAAGAATGGGGGGGGGAAAGCAGCATGTCTTATTACAATAATAAGATGTGATCAGTTAACAAAAGCAAGGGAATGTATCACTCTCCAGATACTGTTAGACTACAAATCCCATCAGTACCTGAGCCAGAATAAACTGTGGTAAGGGACAGGGTAGTTCTAACTCAACATCATCTAGACAGGCACACATTGCCCAACTGTGTAGCTGGACGCTTCATGGACCAAAACAGTGAGAATGAGATTTACACAAAATGGGGTAGCAACTGGGAGGTCATAGAATAATAGAATTATAGAATCATGTAGTTCAAAGAGAGAAAAAGTGCCACCCAGTCCAAATCTCTGTCATGCAGGGACACACAAGCAAAGCATCCCCAACAGATGGTCATCCAGGCTTTGTTTAAAAACCTTTAGAAAAGACTCATCACACTAAAGAATAAATCCACTTAAAATCCAATTTCTGCCTCCTGCAGAATCCTGGGGTTTGTAGTTTAGGGAGGAGCCTTTAACAGTCTCACTACACTACAAACCCCAAAATTCTGCAGGAGGCAGAAACTGGATTTTAAGTGGATTATTTCTCTAGTGTGATGGAGTAGGGTCAGACCATCACTCTCTGAGGTACGACACTGTTGAACAGCTCTTGTCATCAGGAAGTTCTTCCTAATATCTAGGTGGAATCACTTTTCCTGCAATTTGTGGTATTCAGGGGACTTATAACCCAGACATACTCCAGGAAAGTGGAATCTGTCTCCATAGCTAATTTCCTTCAGACTCATTAGCTACAGGCACAAAACATCTGTTCCATGCCAGAGCTTTGCAATAATCTATTGACAGAGCAGAACGAGGAAGATCCTGAGCTTGTCATTCTTAAGCAACAGGGAGAGATGTAGGATGGGGACATACATAATGTGTCTGATCAGGGATTACTCCGGTTTAAAAATATATTTTTTATTCTCCAACCTGCTTACTAAATGGAAAAAACTTCCACATTTCATTTATTCCTGCCACTTTCATATTGTCTGGTTTTAGCTATGCAAAAGTTAAAGAAAAATGTAAAAATGTGGTTGTTTGTTTTGCATTCACACACTCAAACAAGAGGCACATTCACTTTTCAGAGTCTCAGTTCAATTGGACAGAGAGGCACCAGAGAAAATTAGAGGACAGTCTCAGAGGTTACTTGTGGTTTCCATGAAAGTAGGGTGATGGATCCTATCAGGGTTTTAATCCAAATTTTAAAGGGGTTGTCCAACATGCTGAACCTGTTTTAGTCTGAACCTCTACAAAGTTCAGACTAAAATCCAGGGCAAATTCTCTCACCCCATTGGAACCCTAACCCCATCCACCACTAGTTAGGCCTTCTGAAAGGAACCAACCGTGTAATTGCCAAACCACCAAAATTGGAAATTGTTAGTAGATTATAACAGTCAGTGCCAGAACTACACTTTAGTGACACTTACTCTCATTACAGTCACTCATAGATTATTTGTATTTCGTGCCAGGTGGCACTTCTAATGTAAGTATTATGATATCAGTTTTTTTTTTAAAAAAAATGCAACTCCAATTATCTCTCTAACCATCCCCTTCAAAAATGCTCCTGCCTTTTTGCTGTCTTCCAGGCAAGGCTGCACAAGCCTAGAGCATTGGGTCCTGGGGTCTCCTCTCTGCTTGCAGGGCGCCTGGCAGACAGGGTCCTGTGCTTCAGCCACTCCTCAGAGTACCACTCCCCTGGTTTGCTCCTGGGTTAATAGGATTCTTGTGTGAGGAGCTTTTCAGCAGGCTGCCAAAATAATCCCCAAGGTAAGAAGAGGATAAGGAGCTGAGGATTCCCTGCCACATAAACAGATCCTATCTGCAGGTGTGTCTCGCCTTGCCTACAGGTAAAAAGTTTACTGGAATAGCAGTGTGTGCCTCCACACCTTTCCTTAAGACTCAACAAACTTGATGCCAGCGTTTTGCACCCTGCAGCACCATCCCTGTCAGGAAAGGCTGCATCTATCTGATGCTTCCATAGATTTTCTGCTGAGGGAATTTCCATTATATACTGTACAACTTAAACAACACCATGGCCTCCCTTCCTGATGAACTTCCTCACAAAGAAACTAGGGCTGCAGTATTGGTCTCAGCTCCTTTGTGAGATGGCCTGGTTTCTTGAATAATCGTTATCACGCTATCTCATGCAATCAGAAATGAAGTCTTTCTAATCTTCATATAAAACATCCACTAGTTTTATATGGATATGTCACTCTCGCTTCTTGATATGTGGGTACAGTCTTTGCCTGGGTGGATGCAGCACATGAAGGGAGCCTGGAGAGCAGTGGTTCCCAACCTTTTCTTGACCAGGAACCATTTTGACCAGGGACCAATCTCCAACATTAGTACCAAAAGAGTTACAAATCAATTTTTGGTCAATTTCAGATTTAGTTTGGTTATTTGGGGTGCTGATTCAGAAAAT